ACCCAGGATTCCTGACTCAGCATTCCCCTGCTGCCAACAAACATCCACAAAAATGTTTCCGTAATGCTGGGAGCTCCTAGAAGATGATATCCAATTATTATAACTACTCTTATCTCCTGCAGTGAATTTTTTCACTAGTGAAAAAATAGTGAATTTTTTTTTTTTTCTCACCAGCCTGCAACTGTTGGGGCAGGAGGGATAGAGACTATGCTCAAAGAGCAATAAAGAACACAGCACCACACCGAAAAAGGAAGTTTCAAAATTCAGGTTGCCTGTGGTGTCTGAACTTGCTCCCTTTCCATTTAGAGGTAAGGATAAAGATACGATCTTTGCTAGGCACATCTTTTTTCCAGTAAGCCGCAGGATCGGCTCACTCCCAAAGTAAACCAAACAGCATTTCTTTGACAGGCAGATTTTCAGTACTTTGTCTCCTAATTCTTCACATGGCTCCACACCTTACTGGCTGCTCATTAATGAATTGTTGTTCTGGATAATGAATTAGCAACCTCTTCCGTGTATGGTGTTCGCCACTGAAATAAGCAAGCATGGACAGATCCACAGAAGTAACAGCTTAGGGTCACAGAGCCAATCTTTTTTCCCCGCTTACTACTTTGAAAGAAACCCTTCATTTCTCAGGTGGTTTGTGTAAAATACATGCACTCATGAATACAAACTCAGAATCCAAAGATCTGAGAACAAGAACACTCAGAAATCATTTAGGATTCCGGGAAAAATATTCTATACGAATATAAACCAGGAGACCATAATTGCCTCATAGGACGCGGAGACCAAAAAGACAAGACAGGCAAAGCAATATGCATTGAAAGAGAGGCAGAGGAAGATAAAGCAGTTAGTGAAAGTAGGGCTTGGATTAGAGCTCAGTCCCACTCCAGCATCTATCCATTCCCTCACTCCCACTCAGCAACAGTTCTTCTCTAACAGCTACCACTGACAGATCTCAAGAGCTTTTAATGACTAATGTTAACAAAAATTGGGGTTATGAGCTACAACCCAAGGAATTACACTATCCCCAATTTTCAAGGCGTGAAGCAACCTTATCTTCTCCCTCACCTAAACAGATGGCAGGAACTGAAGGTAGCCTTATTCTGTCCCTTTGTCTTCTCTCCGGAAAAACAATCAGCTTACATTTTTCTAGAATAGAAAATTAAAATTCTTTGGCCATTTAAACACTGCATTTCTATGGCAACATACCTTTTTAACGTAATGTAAAAATGCTGACTGCTTTTAAAACCTGCATTTCACTTACCTGCCTTTTACAGCCATGACTGTTTCTATGGAAACCAGAACTGGCCATGAAGCAGTCCTACAGCATGAATTCTCACTTGTCAGTTTTACCTTAAAGCGCCACCTTCAAAGTCCTTTAATAAACCAGTAGCGACTGCATTGCCTAAAGAGTTTTCAAGTTAAACAAAACAAGAAAGCGAGCTTTCACTGAACGCTCCACACAATATTTTGTAGATGGGGTCTAAATGTAAGAATTTTAACAGCGTGAGTGATATGACTCTTGGTTAAGGATACGATCTGTAAACAGAGAGACAGTTTATGAGCAGTAAAAGCCCTAGTGTGTGTAGTTAGACTTACATAAAGGTGACTTATACCAACATGGGTATGTCTAGACTGCTGTCACAGAAGCACACTGTAGAGATACTGACTAAATGGGTAAACCAACCCACAGAGAGCTCTGTGCTCCGCACATGCTTACGGTATTCCCTGTAGGTACAGGAGTGGGAATACACTCAACCAGAGTCAGTGTTAGTCTGTGCTAGGTGGCTACCATGGAAAAGAGAAAGTATGCAAGCTTAAGGCACAGCTATTCCGTGCTGTTTTTCAGAATTAGGATCAGTATAACTTAAATCTAGATTCCTCCCTTAACTTTTTACCTTGAACTTTCACTCTTGTAAAAACTGTAGGCACTCTTGTGTTCATTCATATTATTTCCCTAATTTAAGGGAGAAAAAAAAAGTTATTTTTCCTGTTCTCAGGGATTAATCACCAACAGAATATATCCTTCATCACAGGAGTCCAGCATTGATAGCAAGGACCAGCTTAAAACCTTCCAAGGACAGGTACTTTTCAGAGTGACTTACCTGTCTTTCCCAAGAAGAGTTCCTCCCACCTCACATCTAAGGCTTCATGGTTATCACTGCTTTTATATCACAACAGGAGCAGGACGAACAGGGCAGACACTTTCTGTCTGCACCAACCACCGATGCTTAGAAAATAGGAGGCCAGACATTTTAGGCAGACTTTACACATAGAAATACATCTAAACCACAGGAATTGCAGCATCAAAGCTGGAAGCAACAGAATACTTTAGATGCTGCATGTATGACTCTACAGGCTGCAAGGGACAAAGATACAATCCTATTTTGGTATGAACTTGTTTTAAGGAGATCCTAAAGAGCAATATGATCTCCAGACCATCTTTTCCTCCAGGACTCAGCTGCACAGAGCTTCTCCCAAAAGATACCCAGCCCACTCACTTGGCAGACACCCCCAGGAGAACCAGGCTCTCTCGTTCTTCTAACCTAAGAGAGACTATCACCCCTCACACCAAGACAGCAGGATTCACTCAACCCTTTCCCAGGGAAATCAACTTCTGCTAATGCAGCAGGGCATTCCAAGGGGTGGGTCAGTTTAGTAAAATGAGATGCTGTGCTCTTCCATATGGTCCAGGACACCACATACTCTTCTTAAACTACCCTCAAGCTCATGCCACGTAGGCGACTGGTCCACAATCAGGCGGTAACATATGGTTAACTCCTGAAGCGGCTCTGAACTGATGTCCTAACCTACTTCTCCTGTTGACAGCCTCTATTTTAAGCATCACTTCAAACTGATCAGTGTAAGGAAGAAGGAATCTGAAAAGTTCAACTCCCCTTTTGCCAATATGACCAGGCAGACCTTTATCATAGGCATCGATTAAACTTGCAATTCCCCTCGGTACCACTCCCCTCACTATCTGGACTTATTTCCCTGCTTTCCAGAGTTATCCATAGGAAATGAAAGTCTTCTACAATTCTTTCTTAATCCCTTCTTCCCCTATTCCCTTCAGCACATCTGTACCTTCAGGTACATCTTTTTGGCACCTGTTCAGGCCCGTACTAAGATCTGCCCAGAAGGTACCTAGCTCTTAACACAGCAGTAACGCTAGAAACAGAGGCAGCCCGCAGGGAAGCCAGCTATTAAGCTCTGCAGCAAGTAGGGAGATTACAGGGAAATAATGACGCACGCATGGTTTTCCACTATGGACAAATGCACCATCTCTTTAAGGCTGGAGTTTTCCACAGGCCTCTCAATGCAAATGCCAAATATTTCATCATGCTTTTCTCTTAGCCTATATCTCACTGCAGCTACGGCTTGGAACAAGGCATATAATATAACAGCAAACCAGAGACTTGGCACACATGGGGCTACTCACTGGCTTTCCTCATGCATATGGTTTATTTTTCCCTGCTATGTCAATCCTTATAGGGCTTTACCACTACATCTGCCTCCTGGGAGCCTGCTAGTTCAACTGTTACAGGGAAGGTGCAGAGCAGCAAGGAAGGATACATTTTTCCTTTTTATGCTTTTCAAATTGAAGGTATCACCTCCACACCATGAATTAAACAGAGTACTTAGACAAGCCCCTGCTGCAGCAAGCCCTCCGAGCAGATACTGAACAGCTCCACGCTTTGAAAACTGTGGCACATACCAGAGTTTTGATTATTCCAGGTCAAATGCCTTTCATGTTAACCTTCTCCAGGCTGATCTTATTTCATTAATGGCCTTGTGTTCTACTGCAAGCATGGATATGGATAGTATTTTTCCTGAACGTGACAAGGAAGAAGACACAAAAGGCAACAGGAAGCAAGGTCAAAGCGAGTCTTGCTGGTTTTCATACTTTCTTTTCCAAAGCACCTGATTCATAGTTTATCATTTGTGATGTAAAAAACGATTTAAAGATAAAGAGCAAAACAGTGGCTGATTTTGAGTCTTCTTGTCTGAATAGAATCCACAACAACACACATCAGTAGTGCATGCAGTAGCCAGAAGAATCCAGACAAGCTTTACAAGCAGTGGAAAAGGATGCAGGATGGGAAAGGGGTGCTGGTCCTCATTCCTGAATATTACTTCTCAGAGGAAGGTGAGGATTGCTTTGGGAGTAGCATATCCGTGCACATTCAGGAATATACCTATACATACGTGGGTGCACCAACACTGCCAGGAAGGGCAGGCAAACCTTTTGACTGTTTTCTTTCATGTTCTTTCTCTACCTATTACAAAGCATACATAAAAAGAACGGCTATTGCCATATGGAAATATCACAGCATCAGTCTTTAAACCAGAATGATGAGTCCTGACATGATCATTACTGTAAACAGTGCTCTTTAGCAGTGACTTCTCTTTAGGGCTCACTGGACGTAGATGCGAGAAGGCCATGTCACATCTTACTGTTTGTCAGGGAAGGACATGCAGAGAAAAAGTCCAGCTTCCTTTCCAGCTCCCCTGCTGTGTTAGGACGTCCAGAATCAGTTTGATACAACTTTCACTAGTAATAAGGAGGAAGTCAGCAAGAATATTAAAACAAATATTTGGACAACTTCTCAGGAGCTGGACAAAAATAGCACTTGGAGAAGCAGAACGCTCTTTTTTCCCCCCCCCCATCTAGATCATACTTGGTAATAGCAATTTTTCAGTGTCAGAGTTCTGTCTCAACCATTCCTAATTCCTCACTTTATCCTGATTGGACCAGAACAAACATATCTTCCTTCTTTAAAATGCCATATAGTATCCTTCCATGGTGCTGACAACATCACTGTTACTCTCCAGCAGTTCCAAGACACGGTGCATCACCACTTCAGCCAGGCTGGGGTTGTAGTTCTGCCTAACACAATTCAGGACATGAAGAAAGTGGCAGCCTTTTTCAGCATCTGTAGGAAAAAGAATTAAAAAAGGAGAATGTAGCCAGAAACCAAATGAAAATCCTTTTGCCTGTATACAGCATTAAATACGTCTGGAACAGGAGGCAGGCCCGTGGCCAGATGTGACTACTTGCCCAACACTGTCATCTTGTGGGAAAACTGTCACAGTGCAACTTTTGTTCAGCTACCAATGCAATCCCATTCCTACGCTTGAAACTTCTCAATTACTGGAGTAGAAAGTCACAGAATTTCGGTATCAAGTTTAATCTAATTTTAAAGAGAACAAACCCTGAAAATGTACATGAAAGTAGGAATATAAAAATAATTCTTTTTCCTAGAGAGCAAGTCAGAAATAGATGTCCTTAATAATGCAGTGCAGCATGAAGCAGCTACTGTGTGCCTGATGGAGACATTAACTGACACTCAGTTGTCCCTACCAACAATTTCCCCCACAGACCCTGTAAAGTCACTATCAGTGCTGCAGGATCCCAGTCTTTCCCTCAAGTTCTCAAAACAGCAACAGAGATTGTTCTCCTCCATGGCTAACAATGGAAAACTGGCATAAATGAAGCACATTAACACAAATGACTTTCCTCCACCTCAGCCCTAAGCTCAGATGATGTAAGGTAAGTTTGATACAGCTAGTGAGAAATTTGCATGAAGTTCTGGGGCCAAGAAGATCCCTGTCCTATTTTGCTGCTGCTTTTGGTTTTATTTTAGCAAATCCCTAACTCTAGAATCAGCTAAGCCCCAGAACTGCCTTAGAAGCTGCAGAGGAAAGTCACTGGTAGCACTGCGTACACTTGAGCCTAACTCCTGTCAGACTATAATTCATGCAAGGATATTTCTTTAGAAGTCAGTGGCTCAGTCTGATGAAAGACCTTTGTGGCTGGGAGAAAATACATTCACCACCCTAGGATGGATAAGCGCAGAGAACAGAACAAGGAGTCTACCTGCTCTTAGTGACTGCTGCTCCAAACAAAGTGGGTAGCTGCATTTTGGATTAGTCACAGGTTTGTCATAAGACGGTCAGAGCGCCCATCCCTGATCTACAGTAAATTAGCTTAAGCCCTGATGAATTAGATTAGTGACTCAGGGGTTACCCAACAGCACAATGCATCTTTTGTTCTAGATGCTGGTAGAAAATAGCATTTTGGGGTAATGGCAGGTGTGTGCAATAATTAAGCAGCCCAGATACATTCCTAGGCTACCACCCAAGTTAGAGGGAATACACACTTCGAAGCGGTGTGATGCTGTCCCTCTTTCACTGCCACAATGGGCTTCAGCGTTTGTCTATGACCTCAGGTAATCCAGGCTGTGATAAACTGCCTTGCCTACTGATATAAAAGGGGACAGAGTTAGAGAGAAACTACTCTTTGCCTATTGTGGACATGCGGACAACACAGGTCCAGTTGGACGCATTAAGTTTAACTTTAGGTAGTTTTGGCTTTATTCTCTTTACTATTAGCTTCATCTAAGCCTAAAACCAGAACAAATGCACCAGGAAAAGAAACAAACCTGGATTAAGTCTATCATTTTGCAGTTCAGTCTGGAGTCAAACTATACTGTCACCCTTTTCAAGCTGTCTTAAGCCTCTAGATAGACCCAGAGTGGACTCTTATAAGGGCACTTCAGATCAGGCTGTGGGGAATTACAATTAGAACCAAGGTCTAGGATTGTAATGTTGACATATCAGGGTTTGTGGAGCTCAGACTAGTCATGCTGAGGGCTTTTTTTTGTTTGTACAATAGTTCCATGCAGCTGGGTTGGGCCTGAGAGTGTGTCACAAGAAATGATTGGGGTGAGGCATTGTCTTGAAAGCTAGCAGAGAAAATTTGGATAGAAGCGTTTGGTTTATAATAAAAACAGTCTTACTGTCATGGAAGATTAACGTTGCTCTTGAAGGAAAATGGGTACAAATTTCTTGCAATAACCAAGCAAAAGCCTTTGAGGTACTACCATGTTCCTATTTTCTCACCAGGAGGCTGCTCTCTAACCAAGGCCAAGCGGGTGGCTGTACCTGCCCATGGACAGCAGAGGGGGCCCGACAATTACACTGAGCTCTGTGCCATTGCATCATTCCGGGACAATAAAATATTCAAAAGTATCCTGCTGGTTTTGATCGAAGCTTTTTGGTTTTCCTTTTCAGAGTCTTCTAATACTGGAACACTGAAACAGTCCTTCTCAAAACCATCAGAGGAAGAGAGACTTACCTGGAAACTGTGCTTTTTACAACAGGAAAATAAACAGAAAGCTTCAAGGAGAGCAAGAGGCTCTGTAAAGCAATTGCTATTTTTTCCCTGCTCAGTATGAAAAAAATAGCTTTGAGAACTCAGTTTTCTCTGTAACTATCTACCAGTTTCTATCTGCTGTTGACTGGTAGAAAAAACTTAACCTCTGGTGGAGCAGGGAGAGTACTTCACCACTGTGACAATACACACCAGGCCTGATGTCCTGCATCAACTACATACAAGTTCTGGCTTTTATAGTGGCCCAATTAGGAAACAAAACGTGTTTCCAAGAGAACTTGCTAATCTGTAAAATGGACAGAGGAATGATTTGCCTTCTACAGAGGAGGTGTTTGTATTTGTTAATGGATAAAAGACAATAGAAAACATATTGTAATTTGTTGCACTCACACAGCCTCCAGCAACTAAGCTCATCTTCAACTGCTCACCCTGTAACAGCTACTCCCACCAACCCCCCAGAGAGACAAAACTTTTATTTCCACATATAAACCATGTTAACAGCTGCGCTATTGCTTAAGATAGCCAGTTGGGAACTCAAAAATCATTCCACTTCACTCACCCTTTTTTCTCTGCAGGATAACCATCACAGATCAGGTCCTACAAGCACTATCATAATTATGATGGTATAAGGAGAAAAGCAATTTAAGAGTATATGCCTTATATTCTAGTCAGTCATTTATTCTTTACTACATTTTACCCCACAACTAGCTGCACTCCAGCAGCAAGTGATCCATGCTAACATGTTCAGCCCAATGCATTGACAAACTCTGTATCAATGTACCTGTGCAATTAGCAGCCACTCAAGGCAAGCACTACCTTTTGTAATGGCAATAAGACACCATATGCTTCAGGAACAGGGTAATTCCGAAGTCAGACGAGGTATATTACATGAAATGAAGTGGATTTTGTTAGACTGAAATCCCTACCTGTAAAGAACAGCCACTCGAACTCTGCACTTGCTTAAAACCTACAGAGAATACCCTACTGACATAAGTGAATGTTACTGTTGGCTTAATGGAGGTGAGGATTTCACTTTTCTGCACTACCGCTTTTGTGTCAGCTCCCATGTAGAAACTGACCTAGCAAGATCTGCCACCTACCCGAAGTGCAGAGCAACTGCTATTAGTTGCTGACCTAACCTCATTGCATTTGGTTCCTCCCAAAATTTATGTACACTGAAAAGATACAGATCTTAGATAATGGCTGCTCATTTCAGATCTGCGAGGTTGCTTCATGCTAGGCACATGTGCTCTCTCACTCTCTCTCTCTGCTCATAGGAAGCTGCTCCTGCACTTCTGCTTTTAGCTACTCTGATGAGCTACACAAGTAATTTAGCTTCGAGTTTAAGGGTAAGGACAGGAAGTGTACCTAATCCAGCAGCAGCAGGAGAGATTGTCATCAAAGTATCAGCACCAGCTCATAGCTCACCAGAAACCTGACCACACCAGTACTTACGCCTGGGTTTTCGGCAGTCCTCTTTAACCACATCGAGGGTCACTTTAAGCAGGTCCTTATCATAGTCAGTCACCTGGAGGTAACGGAAAAAAATGGCAATTTATAGTAGTCTATTTCACAGTAAATGGAGCGGATGTTAAAAAGGATGTATCATGGCCATACATCAAGGCCACAACGTATTCTAAACTTACATTGTCATAACTACAGTCAGCAAGATATGCTGCCTCCAAGATAAATAATGCATGTTAAATCTTCAGTTATCTTTTGAGCAATGTTAGCAGCATTCAGGAGTTAGGAGAAGAACATAAGATACCAGAATCAACCCAAAAGAGGGCATCCAACTCAACAGAACACTGAGTTTTAACCTAAACCTGACAGAGACCTGTCCCAGTCTTCAGTGTGCTCTGTCGCATCAGCATACAGTTAAGCAACCCAGGTTGAACACAGACTGCACCTAGAACAGCAGCAGTGCTGAAGACTGGCACTGAGTTACAAGAAGATCAGCTTGGTAGGTGACAGAGAGGTATAAGTAAGAGTAAAGAAAGACGTAGATAAGCCTTTGGAATAAACAGACAGCACTTGGAGGTCCAGCTTCTCTTCCTGAAATATTTCTACTCTGAAACTATGAAATAGTCAAAGCATTGAATATGTTTGCAATCACAGCTCAATTCCTTACATGGTACAAGTCCTTGGAGCTACTAGGTTTCTGGAAAACCACTCCTTCTTCTTGTAGCATCTTTATTGCTTCCTTAAAAACACTGTGAATCCTTTTGGAGCTGGAGTCAGGTTTTGAATTCACCTGGATGGGAAGAAATGTACACAGCAAATGGTGAGAAATCTCAGCCCAACTAAAGCTGATGGCAAAAGCTCCAGAAAATTTCAAGAGCAAGAGAACTTCACGTCATTTTGTTCCACATTTTTCTTTATTTGGTAAATCACAAATCTTATTTGTTACATGCAAACCAACCTGTTAACTTCATCAGTTACATATGAACTAACCAACACCTCAGTCTTTAAAAAAATATAAATATCAGAAGCTTGTGGTTTCGTCAGAATTGTACAATCTCCTAACTGCTGTTTGCAGCTATTTGATTATGTACTGAAAGCCCCCTTCTTTTGGAATAGGCCTATAATGCTTACAGAGAATTTGACTGTTTATCTCATCTGCTTTGATGGTATTTCTATGTTGTTGTCTGGGAGTGAGGGATATATGGAAGGAAGCAAAGATCAGCGCTTTGTAGGGTGATATTCAAGAGGAATCCAAGTGCTGGGAATTGGATCTCCATCTCCTGATACCAAACTGAGGCTGTGTCCAAAGAAAAGAAGGAAACTGGTAAGAATAATATTTGTTTCTTGTCCCCTGCTTTCCAAATTTTTACAAGTATTTTAGTCACGGTTTTAAGAGTCTCTCCACAGCCCTAATGAAATGTCAGGAGAAAGAGCGTGCAAGAAATTAAGATAGATATATGAGATAGGGAAACAAAGGATGAAGGCTAGAAGGCAGGTGGGAAAAAAGTCTCTTGTGAAGGGTTCAGGACACTGCTAGCAGAGTAGGAAGTAAGAAAAAAAAAAAAAGGAAAAGCAGGGTTTGTTTGGAGATAGAGCAGAGCTAAGACAGTGGAATGACAGCTGGGGAAGTTGAAGGAAATAAAGAATCAGCTGTGGAGAGGAGAATGTATGGGCAGATAAGAGCTAGACCATTACATTCTTTCCCATCTTTATCTGTCCCACTGTTTCAACCTTCCATTTATCTACAAAGGCTGCTTCAATTCCCCAATTGTTGTTTCCACATCTGTTGGGAACACTCTGTGCTCCCTGTGGTTTCCTTTGAGAGCAGAGCTGAGCTGCTTCCCACAAGCGAACATGTGATGAATGGAACCAGACCACACCAGAGCAACCAAAGCAAGAGTTGCCAAGCCCTTTCTTCATCTGCCACCATAAACGCTCCCATCCTGTCCTGAGCAGAAGTATCAGCCTTCGTGTATCCTACTTCATTCACCAGGGGAACTCACAGAAATACTGGGAGTGAATCAAGCAACCATCGTGTACCAGAGTGAACTCACATGGACACGTGGTGACAGACACCAGGTTGGTAATGGAAGAACGTCCCTTCACAAAGCATTACTTCCATCCATTTGTAAGGCTCAAGTCCAGCTCAGACTAGCTCTAAGCCTGGGAATTGACAGGCCTCACCAGGAATGGTTTAGGAGATCCAACAGAGATATTGGCATTGGCATGCTCCACAGTTTTCTCCACGCCCTTCCCCTCAATGTTTCAGCAGGCCATAATCACAGCTCTCTCACTCTTTCTTTCTGTCCAACAACAGCAATCTTTTTCCTCTCAAATCGTTAGTCAAAAATAATTACCTTGTAGTCCAAGGCAATTACCACAGAAGAATAGCTATTATTCTGTCTTTATTTGGCTTCAAGTTTTCTCCTGTTACAGAAGGATTTTAGTGTTTGAATGTTTGCTTGTCCCCTGTCCACCACAGCTGTACCAGTACAACTACAGACACTATTTTTAACTACAAACCTGACCTTACATCTGGACACCATTCCCCTCACACCATTAATACCTCCATCATACTTTATAGTGCTGCTTCTTATGAACTGAAGAAACAAACAAAATATAGAAGAAAGGGATTTTGTTTATTTGCTTTGTAAGTGAAGAGTGAATACTTTCTCTTAATTATTTTTTTTTTCTTCAGGACAAGAGGCAATGGGCACAAACTGAAATACAGAATTTCCAGCTGAATATGAGAAAACTCTTGTTTGCTGTGAGGGTGACTGAGCAGAGCACTGGAACAGGTTGCCCGTGGAGTCTCTTACTCTGGAGGTATTCAAAACCCACCTGGATGCCATCCTGCCAATGTGCTCTAGGTGATCCTGCTTGGCAGGGGAGCTGGACTAGGTGATCTCCAGAGGCCCCTTTCAACCTCAACCATCCTGTGAAAAGCACATTCACATCGCTGTACCTAAAATGAAGAGGCTTTGCCTCTAACAAATGCAGGAATCTAAAGAAACTGCTAGCAAAGCAACCACCTCAAGACTCTGATCAATTTTTAATGTGAAAGCAAACATTTGGCGAGGGGAAAAAAGATAAAAATATCTCCAAAGAAGCAGGATAATTATTCAGTTTGGCTTAACACTGAGATCCCGTCAGAAAAGGGAGATAATTAAAAACAGGCTCCGTGTGAACTGACACACAGCTCTGCCTGGATGGATACTGAAACAGAATCACTAAGAAAGTAAGTCAAGAGATTGACAGAGAAGGCAGAGAGGCAGACTTGGGAGTGAGAAAATAAGGAAGAAGCTGCTACATATCAGCACCCTTTCATATGTGCTGCAGAGTCTGAAAAAAAGGTCTCTGTGGGAGAATTACCTCCGAAAAACAGATGAAGGCTCTTCCCCTATCCAGAGACTTTAATATTATCCTGAAATAATGGGAAAAGTTTTTGTGTTTTTGTTTTCTAGCATGCTCTAGAACATGCTTCTGCCTCTCTCGCCCTCTGAGTAAATCAACAATTTGACAAAGTTCTTTGTGAACACCACCTAAAGTTATTTGATCTGTTTTTTTGGTCCACCCAAAACATCTCCAATTTCTCAGTCCTGCAAGTCCAAAAGTCAATAGCCCGTCTCCCTAATACCTCACCTTTCTTTTATGCCAAACCAGACCCTCTTTTCTTCTGGACTTGCACAATCCCCTGAGAGCCAGTGTACACCGA